CAAGCTATGCTGAAATATGGGTTCAAGCAGAGTCAAGCTGATCACACTTTGTTTGTGAAACACTCTTTACAGGGTAAGATTACAGCTCTTATTGTTTATGTTGATGATATTGTTTTGACAAAGGATGACGTTGAGGAGATCCCTCGGTTGAAGGAATACTTAGCCAAGGAATTTAAAATAAAAAATTTGGGTAGTTTAAAGTATTTCTTGGGTATTAAAGTAGCTAGGAGCAAGGATGGCATCTTCATATGTCAGAGAAAGTATGTACTTGACTTGCTAAAAGAAACTGGACTGCTTGGAGGTAGACCATGCCATACACCTCTAGAACCAGGCTAGAAACTAAGCGAGGATCAAGAGGGAGAACCAGTGGACAAGGGCAGATACCAGCGACTAGTGGGCAAACTCATATACTTATCCCATTCACGACCAGACATTGCCATTGCTGTGAGCATGGTTAGCCAGTTTATGCATGCTTCTAGAACTTCCCACTTAGAGGCAGTTATAAGAATCCTGAGATACCTAAAGTCTTCTCCTAGGAAGGGTCTCTATTTCTCAAAACATGACCATCATAGTGTGGAGGCATTTACTGATGCAGATTGGGTTGGATTAGTCACTGACAGACGATCAACTTCCGGATACTGTACATTTGTTGGTGGCAACCTAGTCACATGGCAGAATAAGAAACAGAATGTGGTTGCTAGATCTAGTACTGAGGCAGAATTCAGGTCTATGGCTCATGGTGTGTGTGAGTTGCTATGGATTACATTATTGTTAGGTGATTTGGGGATCCATCGGACCAACTCCATGAGACTATATTGTGACAATAAGGCAGCAATCAACATACCTCATAATCCAGTTCAACATGATAGAACTAAGCATGTGGAGATTGATAGGCACTTCATCAAGGAAAAACTCACTAATGGTACCATATGTATTCCATTTGTAAAGACTATGGACCAACTAGCGAATGTTCTCACCAAGGGACTTGGGAGCAAACCATTTCATGGCATTCTCAACAAGCTGGGCATGAGAGATATTTTTGCACCAGCTTGAGGGAGAGTGTTAGAATACGGAATAATATTTAATATTAGTTGTATTTTATTCTTATTTTAATTTCTTGATTGATGTAATGGGCCGACCCATAAATTATGCCTTATGACACTGCTGTAATTACTTATTATTATCAATATAAAAGGGGATGAGGTCTAACTCAATCCCTATCACTTTCTCTTCTCTAAACCTACAATATATATATATATATATATTTATGATTTGTGTTTATATATATATATTTTATTCTCTTTTTGAGAGATTAAAAATTCTTTTTATTTTTTATTTTTTTATTTCTTTTTCTTCTCTCTTATGTGAGATTAAAACTTCTTTTTTTTTAAAAAAAAATCTTTATTTATTTATTTATTTATATCTTAACCCCTCTTTTTTTCCCTTTTTTTTCTATTTTTTCTATTTTTTGGGATATTCTTGTTTGTTTAATCTTGAACATATATATAAAACTAATTACTTTTATTTGTTAGAAAAAATTAATTTATTGAATGTGTTTATTAATTTTATTTTTTTGTTCAATGTGTTCATTAATTATATTGTTATTGTAATTTTGTAGGAATTTTTTATTCTTAAATATGGCATTTGATGTTGAAGTAGTGAAATGTATATTTTAAAATTTTTTTTAAGTGTTATATAAATAAATAAAATTATATGTATTAAATGTGTTCCCAACGTGTCGTGTCCCCTATTTTTTAAAAATTTGCTTGTCCGCGTGTCCGTGTCCGTGTCCGTGCTTCATAGTTGATTCATGTATAACTAGTACTCCATACTCTAGGAGCTAGCGATATGCTCATGTATAACTCAACTCAACAAGACTTTGTCTCAATTACTTGAGGTCAACTAGATAGATGGTTCTTTTAAAATCCATGTCCATTGCCTCAACCGAAGTCCTCGTTGTCCATCCTCTATTTCTGTTAGGACATTCAACTTGGTTATTGAAGAGTTCCAAAATTAAATTCAAGTTATTGTAAAAAGGCACATGTCAGTATTTCTTTGATTTTGGATAGGTCTTTGGTGTATCCCTAGAGAATTGGGTAGTTTTTTGTACTCATCACACTCCCTTTCACATTGTGGCACGCGTCGATCTGCTGGTCATCTTTTGAATCATCTTAGTTACTTCCTTTTAGTTATGACGATGAAATAATCAAACTATTACCAGAACATTCAAGTAGAGCGTATGTTGTTAATTTGATCATGTTTATTTATTGTTTTGAGGATCAAGATCTGATTATGTTAAAATTGATGTATTATTGATTGTTGTATTGATATCTATTACAATGATTCATGATTCCTATATATAGAAGAGGGTGAGTGTGTAGTAGGTGAGGAGTAGGTGAGGAGTAGGTCGAGAGTAAGTGAAGTAGGTGAGTGTGTAGTAGGTGGTAGTGGTAGGTGTGTAGTAGGTGAATTTTAACAGCCCCCCGCAAACTCAAGGGGGCATTCTCAACAAGCTGGGCATGAGAGATATTTTTGCACCAGCTTGAGGGAGAGTGTTAGAATACGGAATAATATTTAATATTAGTTGTATTTTATTCTTATTTTACTTTCTTGATTGATGTAATGGGCCGACCCATACATTATGCCTTATGGCACTGCTGTAATTACTTATTATTATCAATATAAAAAGGGATGAGGTCTAACTCAATCCCTATCACTTTCTCTTCTCTAAACCTACAATATATATATATATATATTTATGATTTGTGTTTATATATATATATTTTATTCTCTTTTTGAGAGATTAAAAATTCTTTTTATTTTTTATTTCTTTTTCTTTTCTCTCTTATGAGAGATTTAAAATATCTTCTTCTTCTTTTTTTTCTTTTTTTTTTTTTAATCTTTTATTTATTTATTTATATCTTAACCCCTCTTTTTTTCCCTTTTTTTTCTATTTTTTCTATTTTTTGGGATATTCTTGTTTGTTTAATCTTGAACATATATATAAAACTAATTACTTTTATTTGTTAGAAAAAATTAATTTATTGAATGTGTTTATTAATTTTATTTTTTTGTTCAATGTGTTCATTAATTATATTGTTATTGTAATTTCGTAGGAAATTTTTTATTCTTAAATATGGCATTTGATGTTGAAGTAGTGAAATGTATATTTTTAAAATTTTTTTAAGTGTTATATAAATAAATAAAATTATATGTATTAAATGTGTTCCCAACGTGTCGTGTCCCCTATTTTTTAAAAATTTGCTTGTCCGCGTGTCCGTGTCCGTGTCCGTGCTTCATAGTTGATTCATGTATAACTAGTACTCCATACTCTAGGAGCTAGCGATATGCTCATGTATAACTCAACTCAACAAGACTTTGTCTCAATTACTTGAGGTCAACTAGATAGATGGTTCTTTTAAAATCCATGTCCATTGCCTCAACCGAAGTCCTCGTTGTCCATCCTCTATTTCTGTTAGGACATTCAACTTGGTTATTGAAGAGTTCCAAAATTAAATTCAAGTTATTGTAAAAAGGCACATGTCAGTATTTCTTTGATTTTGGATAGGTCTTTGGTGTATCCCTAGAGAATTGGGTAGTTTTTTGTACTCATCACACTCCCTTTCACATTGTGGCACGCGTCGATCTGCTGGTCATCTTTTGAATCATCTTAGTTACTTCCTTTTAGTTATGACGATGAAATAATCAAACTATTACCAGAACATTCAAGTAGAGCGTATGTTGTTAATTTGATCATGTTTATTTATTGTTTTGAGGATCAAGATCTGATTACAATTGAATAACTTACACATCTTATGGGCTCTTTTTCTTACCTTCATATATATATATATATATTTCATCCATATATCCATAGTGTACTAGTGGTATTTCGTGGAGAGAATGTAAAACACTTATGGCAGGGAGAATCTTGTTTCTTGTTGAAAACCAGTATTGTCCTAAGTTTGGCTTATCTCTTTGGAGCCACGATAATTTTTTTATGCTTTGACATTTTCTTTGGGAAATGATATTATGAGAGGCAAGATGATAAGAAAAGGACAGTGAAGATCATACATACCCTTTTTATTTTTTCTTTTAAAACGCATCAAGTAGATAATGATATAACTATCAGAAGGTCGAAAGCTCTTGAAGCAGTATTTGTTTGGGTAGAGGGTTGCTAAAAAAGGGTTAAACTGACTCTCATCGAACTGGAGGAACATCTCTGATAATACTTTTCATCCCGACCCCCCTGCCTCACTTGTTGGTGGGTTCATTTTAATTTTTATGTTTGTCTGACATTAGAGGCTGTTTGAGTGGAGAATTATGTTCAGGAATTAGGAATTCCCATTCTAGTAGTTGAAAGGACCAAAGCAGCTTATGTTATTTGTTTCTCATTCAAGCTTTTTTCTGCATTGGCTAATTGTTTGTTTAGCACATGGTGCAACCTAAATGTGTTAATCATAGCTCATTGGGTTTCGGGGCTTGTGGACTCCTATGCCAGATCTACTGCCCAAGATTGCTTGATCAATCAGAGGATGCGTTAGAATCTTGTGGCGCATTTGCTACCTCATCTATAAGGTTGAATGCCAGATGCAGGTTGTGTTAATATTGGTTGTCAACAATGTGCACATTATTTTGTTTTTGTCTTTTATTAGATGATTCAGTTGCCTCTTGTAAATTATAGGCATTTTGTCCCAGGCTGACTTATCACTACAATATTTTAGATTGTGAATAAGAATTTCATATCGCATGCAGTGCTTTGGTTGAATTATTACAATGATATTGGAGTCCGTGGCTCTTGAATTCCAATCCATGTGGTTATGGTAGTCCACCACGTACTTCTCTTGATTTTTCTCTCTTATGGCCAAGTCCTGAGAGAAAAAAGAGGAAAGAAAAAATTGATTATGTGACCATGTTCTTGGCTTATTTTATTCTTGTTATTAGGCTTTATATGCTTGATATTATTAGTCATGTCAAGAGATTCTTGTTTTTATGAATTGCAGCCAATAAATCAAACCAACCAAGTGATCAGGATCTGTTATCTCATATTTTAAGAAGCTTAGCGAGCCATGGTGGTCTCCATGGGGATAAAAACATATCTGGCCTCCTGCAGGAATCTCAGAATTTGTTGAATAGTGGAAATTCAGAAATGGTTTCGGCTTTGCTTTCTAATAGTTCTCAAGGTGCTCCAAGACCCATTCAACAAAATCTCCCAGTAACCACATCTGAGGTGCCGCAAAGAGGGTTCTGTGTCAAGGATGCAAGGGATCAAGATGTACAAACTGCACACTTTGAAAACCTGACTACTCTGTTCTCAATTAAAGATAGTCCTCCAGCTTATTCAGAAGCCAGAGACAGTTCTGCAGGGCGAAGTAGGTTGAATAATTTTGATTTAAATGATGTATATGTTGATTCAGATGAGTGCACAGAAGATTTGGAGAGGTCACCAGTGGCGTTGGATTTGAGGACTGCTTCTCTTGAATGCCCTTCATGGGTACAACAAGACTCTCATCAGTCAAGTCCGCCTCAGACAAGTGGAAATTCAGATTCAGCATCTGCTCAGTCACCTTCTAGTTTCAGTGGAGAATCTCAGGTACATTAAAACATGTTTATTTTAGATATGGTGTCAAGGTTTACTTTTATTGTAGGTTGCTTTTGTTCATGGCTTTCCTAACCTAAATTCTATGCATGGAGCCAGAAAACAGTTGGCTACATTCCTCAATACTTTGGTTGTTGCGAAATAGTTTGAGAAATTATCTAGTCTGCTCAATTACTAAGAGGAAAACAGTTTTTAAATGATTGGGCATGTAGTATATGCATATGTGGCGTGGGCCCCTCAGGTGCACAGGCATGTGTGTCCAAAAGAACAATTTTAATTTAAGTTTTAAGTTTGAAATTTTCATAGACAATTTTCATAGTATCTGGCCATCCCCAGTTTAATTACCAGAGACACGGGTTAATACTGGGGAAATGAGGCATTGTTGTAGGTCATGTTACTCATGTCACAGGTTGAGAGCATAGAAAATTAACAGTTTATTGACAATATTTTTCTTTGTTTGAAAATAGGATGAAAATGTTAAAATGACAGCCATATTGAATTTTTTGGCCATTAATTATGCTTATTCATTATCAAATGATGGTGTAGTTTATTTCATGTTAGCAATAAATCTCTTCCAGTTACTAGAAGAGACCCTAGAGTAGACTAATGTTGAGGACTACGAATCACTTGTTTTCATGATCATGTTTGTGAACACAAAAATAAGATCCCTGTAGAGTACAACAGGTTGTTAAACTTTTAAGGTAAATATTAAAATAGAATGAATAATGTATAAAAAAAAATGTCTTTTCAATTCACCACCCATCCTCCATACTAAAGTGCAGGCAATGCAATTGGAATAAATTGTGTGATCTGGATTCACTGCCTATTTGCCTTGTTGAGTTTCTCTTTTATTTCTACAAAGTAGGAACCATGCTAATTTCATTCTTTAATTGGTGGATTAAGAATATTCTCGTTGAGCCATATGTTTTTATTCTTAACCTTTTGACACTTTTAAGTATTAAATATCCGTGCACATTTTTTTCCCCCTTTTTCCTAAATGGTTATTATGGTTTTGTTTTTCTGTTTTTACAGAGCCGCACAGATCGAATTGTCCTCAAATTATTTGGGAAAGAACCAAGTGATTTTCCTTATGCCCTACGGGCACAGGTACTTTTCAAGCTTTAATTTTTTAATGCTCCTTTTATTTTGAAATTCTTCCTTTTCTTTTTAGGGTGGAGGATAGGTGAGCCTTCTTGGTGTTTCCTTGCACAAAAAAGAATAATTATGTGAAATGTTCTGGATTGCTAGATTCTCAACTGGTTATCTCACAGTCCTACTGACATCGAGAGCTACATTAGGCCTGGTTGTATTGTCTTAACAATTTATCTTTGCCTGCCCGATTCAGCATGGGAAGAGGTATTGTTCTTCTACATATGTGCGGAATAGTGGTTATTTGGTTAGGCAGGGTTTCTAATTTTCCATGTCTTGATTGCTTCGTACAGCTTTGCTGTGATCTGACCTCCAGTTTGAGTAGGCTTCTTGATGCCTCCAATGATGACACTTTCTGGACAACTGGATGGGTTTACATTAGGGTGCAGCATCAAGTAGCTTTTATGTACAATGGTCCGTCATATTTTTTATATATTTGCACACTCATGTTTAATTAAATTATTTAATCTTCCAAAAGTTTCTTAGGACATCGTAATGCCCCTCTTCTTCATGGAAGATTGATAATTTTGTGTTGTGTTCTTGTGCTGCAGGTCAGGTTGTTGCAGAGACTTCCTTACCTTTAAAGAATGATAATTGTAGTGCTATTCTAAGTGTCAAACCTATTGCAGTATCTATATCAGAGAGAGCCCAATTTCTGGTTAAAGGTTTTAACTTAAAACAACCCTCCACTAGGTACTCATCATTCTTCTTTGTGCCACTTACTCTTGCCTTAGTTTTTACCGTCATTCATTTTAAGTGACATAAGGTTGCTTGTGTTTTATCTGGAATTTGGGTTGTAATCTTTGGTAAACTAGTATGCCTTTATTGAGTTCTGCCATCGTTATTTGACTTTATTTTTGCAGATTACTCTGTGCACTTGAGGGGAATTATCTAGTTGAAGAAGCTACTGATGAGTTGGTAGAGGATGTTGATATTCTCAACTTTTCTTGCTCTATACCTGCGGTGACTGGAAGAGGATTTATTGAGGTCTGGTCTCCCCCACTTTTCTTATTTTCCCTGTTCTCCATAGTAGCATCACATTTTATGTATTTTTTACATCACGCTTGTTCTTTTACTATATTTACACAGCTTGCTTACCAGAATAAATAAATAAAAAATAATAAAATAAATGCAGCATCATATTTATGGCTATCAATGCTTTGTCCACTGAGCTTCCCATCAGCAACCACCCTTGGGGAACCTTCTAGTTGTGCATCTGCTCTTGAAGCAGGCATCTTCCCTTGGGTGGATTTTACTTCTGGGGTAAGGTTCAGTTCATGGTTCTGCAGGCTTTGCTTCACAAGGCACGCCTATGCCAATATTGGTGTTGAGTCAGCCTGTGATTGGCTCGTGTCTGGACTGATATTTGTGTGCATGTGTCAACTACTGTGTCATTTTCTGAACTTATCTGAACTTCAATATTCCCTTTCTGTTATCTGAATATGCTTACTTGGAATCATCCAGGTTGAAGATCATGGTCTTAGCAGCAGCTTTTTTCCGTTTATAGTTGCAGAGAAGGATGTTTGCTCTGAGATTTGTACACTTGAGAATGCAATTGATTTGACTGAGACTGATGATATCCAGGGAGAAAATGCAAAAATGGAAGCAAGAACTCAAGCCATGGATTTTGTACATGAAATGGGTTGGCTCCTCCACAGAAGTCGCTTGAAGTCCCGATTGGGTCACTTTGATCCCAATTCAGAACTCTTTCCTTTAGGACGATTCAAGTGGCTCATGGAATTTTCCATGGATCATGATTGGTGTGCAGTAGTCAAGAAACTGTTGGACATTCTTCTCGATGGAACTGCGGGTACAGGTGTGGGAGAGCACCCCTTCCTGAAGCCTACACTATCTGAGATGGGTCTTATTCACAGAGCTGTACGGAGAAATTCTAGGCCTCTGGTTGAGTGCCTGCTGAGATATGTCCCTGAGAAAGTTTCAGATGAATTAAGATCTGAACTCAGTCATCTGGTTGGAGGTGATGAGAACTTATTCAGGCCTGATGTGGTAGGCCCTTCAGGTTTGACTCCCCTCCATGTTGCAGCCGGTATAGATGGTTCTGAGGATGTTCTGGATGCTTTAACTGATGATCCTGGAAAGGTAGTTCTTTCCCTTTTCATATTCAGCTCACCTACTTCTTTAGTGTGTACCCCTTTGAATTTCTCTTCTTGTTGATCATCAAATGGGACCCACTGTTGTGTGGTGTTAAAGGGGCATTGCACAAACCTGCCATGAAAAAATTGGTGAGATACAGATCACTCAATTCAATAAAAGCTGGGTCACCTGGGAGAATCTATTGCCCCCATTTACTATATAACGTAATATTGAACAAAAAGCTTCAGCTCATGAAAGTGAGGTCAACTGGTTCCTAACTAACTAGGAAACTGATGTGCCTCTCTTGCGTAGTGTTTCTTCAGGAAAAACTCTGTTATACTGCATAAGTTCAGCATTATACTTTTGAAGTTGCTGACTATATTGTGATTTAGGTGGGAGTTGAAGCATGGAAGAGTGCTCGTGACAGCACGGGTTTCACACCTGAAGATTATGCTCGATTGCGGGGACACTACTCTTACATCCACCTGGTCCAGAAAAAAATTAATCGAAGAGCAGTAACTGGGCATGTGGTGGTTGATATTCCTGGTTATCTGTCAGACTGCAACATCATCAACCAGAAGCAAAATGAGCAGCAAGTTGCCAGTTTTGAGATTGGAAGTAGTGAAATAAGGCGATGCATCAAACAGTCGTGCAGACTCTGTGATCTGAAGAAGCTGTCTTATGGCAACAATGCCAACAGTAGTTCTCTTCTGTACAGGCCTGCAATGCTGTCGATGGTGGCTATTGCTGCTGTCTGTGTTTGTGTGGCTCTTCTCTTTAAGAGCTGTCCTGAAGTTCTGTTTGTGTTCCGTCCCTTCAGGTGGGAATTGTTGGACTACGGATCTAGCTGAGTCAATTAACTACTGCTCTACTAATTTAATCAGTGTGTTTGATCTGCTCAGTTGAGCTCTATCCTATTGTAGAATTTAGTGCTTTGGGGGAGGTTTCGTATTTATTCAGTATAACTATATTGACCTGTTATTTATGTTGTTCCTAGAAAGCAATAATGTTTATGCTTCTTGTGGTGTTTTGAGGCATGAATGGATCTCCCATTTGAGACAACATAGTTGAAAAAACTGGAACAAAAAATTTTGAAAATTGGGAAAAATAATAATAATATTTTGTTTGGTGTTTATTTTTGCTTTAAAAAAAAAAAAAAAAACAATTGTTAAGATTTACTAGTTCTACAAAAAAAGAAAAAAAAGTAATCTTTTGTTTTGTAAACTCAATGAAGTATTATTTTGAAATAAAAGGTCGACGATGGAGTAACGTTTCATCATTTTTGTCTCCAAGTGAAGCAACACAAAATAAAAGGAAGAGTCATGTTATTATGTATGATTTTTTTTCTTTTTTCTTATTTTTTTTGGGGGTATAATACTCAATGTGATATCACCTTTCATCAGTTTTGTCTGTAGCTGAAGCAACACGAAACAAGGGAATGCTATTTTATTGAGAGAGAAATTACGTATTCCTGGCTACTTAGGGGTTGTTTGGGGTGTCTTAAATAAGTGTATTTTTTGACGTGATAGAGAGGTGATGTGATTTAAATAGGATAGTGACTTTTTAGATTTTTTTGAGGATGCCAAATTTGGCCTTAATAAGAACATGGTCTTCAATGATTCGGTTGAATGAAACCCCTCGTTATTTTTGACTCCCATCCCAATCATCTCCAACGGTAATAGGCATTTTACCTATCTAAACATTACTATAAAGTATACATTTTATTTTGCCTATCAACTGTTTCATGTTTCTGCTCCAACCATGCTCTTTATTTTAGCTATTCGTCCAAATGCTATTAATTTTATAAAATGCCACATCAGCAACAAAGATGGAGGGAAATAATCCTAATGATTAAATACATTTTGCCTAGTCTTAAAGGCTAGCTACATGTAGCTAGTGAATGTGAGTTGAGCTAAAATGCCTAATCACATGCCTAGTGCATTGGAGTTAAAAAAAGTGAGTCATACTAGGCATTTTACCTAACAAGCATTATATGCCTAGTGCTTTGGAGATGCTTGTTTATTTTTGCTTTAAAAAAAAAAAAAAAAAAACAATTGTTAAGATTTACTAGTTCTACAAAAAAAGAAAAAAAAGTAATCTTTTGTTTTGTAAACAGTCTTCAATGAAGTATTATTTTGAAATAAAAGGTCGACGATGGAGTAACGTTTCATCATTTTTGTCTCCAAGTGAAGCAACACAAAATAAAAGGAAGAGTCATGTTATTATGTATGATTTTTTTTCTTTTTTCTTATTTTTTTTGGGGGTATAATACTCAATGTGATATCACCTTTCATCAGTTTTGTCTGTAGCTGAAGCAACACGAAACAAGGGAATGCTATTTTATTGAGAGAGAAATTACGTATTCCTGGCTACTTAGGGGTTGTTTGAGGTGTCCTAAATAAGTGTATTTGTTGACTTTTTATGAAATATGGATTGGGTATGGGTTGGGTTTGAAATGATGTGATAGAGAAGTGATGTGACTTAAATAAGATGATGTGACTTAAATAGGATAGTGATTTTTTGACTTTTTAGATTTTTTTGAGAATGCCAAACTTGGCCTTAATAAGAACATGGTCTTCAATGATTCGGTTGAATGAAACCCCTCGTTATTTTTGACTCCCACCCCAATCCTAAAGCATCTCCAACGGTAATAGGCATTTTACCTATCTAAACATTACTATAAAGTATACATTTTATTTTGCCTATCAACTGTTTCATGTTTCTGCTCCAACTATGCTCTTTATTTTAGCTATTCGTCCAAATGTTATTAATTTTATAAAATGCCACATCAGCAACAAAGATGGAGGGAAATAATCCTAATGATTAAATACATTTTGCCTAGTCTTAAAGGCTAGCTACATGTAGCTAGTGAATGTGAGTTGAGTTAAAATGCCTAATCACATGCCTAGTGCATTGGAGTTAAAAAAAGTGAGTCATACTAGGCATTTTACCTAACAAGCATTATATGCCTAGTGCTTTGGAGATGCTCGCGTGAGTTTCAGACTAAAGAATCGATAAGAAATGTCTCATTTTTGAGAAATTTTATTTTCACACTTAATTATTTTCATTCATATAATCTCCTCGTGCACACACTTTATAATTTAATTAGTAATTAATTTTTTCAATCTATACACTAAATGCATTAATTATACTCTTCATTCGTACCATTGTACACACTGTAAGAATTTTTCCTAAATATGGCTTAATGTGGCTTATGCATGATTTTATTAGATTCATCTCATAAGATACATGTACATCAATTGGATGGTGACTAATCATTGATGAATGCACCTATATATACATAATGTATAGAAGATTAATGGAGATAATGTTAATGCATTGAATGTGATAGATTCATTATGAATGAATCTTAAAGATGCATTATGTATCTATTATGAATGTAGAAGATACATTAATTTATCTAATGAATTCATTAAAATAGAAGATGCATTATGTATTATGAATGTAAAAGATACATTAATCTATTTAATGAAGTTCATTGAATGAATGGATTCTTTGATGGGAAGAATACTAGTATAAATAGTGTAAGGTCCCAAACCACACTCTCTATCACAAAGTTGTCACCACAAGAAGGCTCCTATTGCCTAGAGAGAGAGAAAGAAGTGGTTTGAAGATCTTAGACAAGTAAAGAATTTAAAGATCAAGATTTTCCATTCAAAATTTCTTTTCTTACAAGAGGATTTCATACTATAATGGATTAAGGTATGTATTCACTTATTTTGTATAGTAGAAATTCATATAGTTTTCATGTATAGAATTGAATCGTAATGGTTTTTAGTTTATGTTCCACAAAGTTTTCTATCAATTGGTATCAGAGCATGGTTCTCAATTCTGATGCATGAAACGTATAAATATGAATTTCATTTTATGATGATGTTTTGTGTAACAATTGCAAAACCTTGATTTACACTTGTCCAATTTTATTTTTATTTTTGGCCAATCTTTTATTCTATTGATATTAAAATAAAAATTAAAAATTATTGAACAAGTGGTAATTAAGATAATGTCTTATGCACTTATAATGTTTTGTTATACACCTTATGAGTTGAAATATTGTTGATCAGCCCAATGGAGGTTCAACACTATATATGTTTGAACAACCGAGATGATTAGTATAATAAATATAGCAATAAGTTTTTTTGCCCAACGGTGATAAACTTGTTATGGTCTTAATGATTATTTTATTTTATTTTATTTTATGTTGTTTATTTTTATTAGTCATCTCATTTACTTTTATGAATTGTTAAAATAAATTTTTATTCGGCCCAATGGAAGGAGAACTTGATTTCGTATCTAACTAATTATGTTTTATAGTTAGATATATTTAACTTGTGGTGTTATTTTTATGATATGTGAAAAGTTGTTTTCTTGATTATATTATGTAATGCATATTATGTGTTTGTAGCATTGAATCCTACTATAGTTAATAGTTACTTGTCTGGTATTGAAACTTTGAGTGGAACTAATTTTAAGAAATTGAAGGAACAAATTGGAATTGTTTTGGAAATTATGGATTTAGACTATGCATTAAGAGAGCCAGCTCCTACAAAGCCTAATGATACAAGTTCTAAGGAACACATGACTTTATATGAAAAATGGAAATGCTCTAATCGTTTAAGTCTAATGATTATGAAATGCTCAATTACGCCTGCAATTCAAGGAGCAATCCCTGTTTCTGAAAGTGCATTGAGCTATATGAAATCTATTGAAGAACAATTCATTGGAACTTCCATATCCCTTACTAGTACTTTCATGATTAAAATGATGACAATGAAATATGATGGTTTGAGTGGTGTTCGTGAACATATCTTAAAGATGAATGACATGGCCTCTGAATTAAAGGGAATGGACATGGAAATTTTTGAACGTTTTCTTGTTCATTTCATTATGACTTCTCTTCCTGCGCAATTTGGTCATTTTATGATCAATTATAATACGCAGAAAGATAAGTGAGTTAATTGCCATGTGTGTTCAAGAAGAAGAGAGGCTTAAAGCTGAAAAGCCTGATAAGGCTCACCTTACTACCTTGGGTCCAACCAAAAGGACTTTCAAGGAAGGCAAAAGTAAGAAGAAGAAGAAGAATGCAAATGATGAAACTCATAAGGCTAATGAAGAAAATAAGATTCGATGCCATATTTGTCGAAAGAAAGGTCACATAAGAAAAGACTGTCCAGGTTTTAAAAGTTGGTTGGACAAGAAAGGTAACACTCAATGCTTTGTGTCTTATGAATCCTTTTTGGTAGATGTTCCACCAAATTCTTGGTGGATTGACATTGGTGCATGTATTCACATAATAACTTCCATGCAGGGATACCTTACAAGTCAGAAACTAAATAAAGGAGAACGAACCATTACAGTTGGGAATGGAATAGATGTGGACGCTGAGGCTATTGGCACCATCCGTCTAATTTTAGACTCTGTTTTCATTTTAGATTTAGTAAACACAGTTTATGTTCTTGTTTTTACTAGAAACCTAATTTCTGTTTCACAACTTGATTCCTGTGGTTATGAATTTAAGTTTGAAAATAATAGTCCCTTTATTCCACAATTCTCATATGATTGGTTCTGGTACTTTATATGACAATCTTTATTAATTGAATTTAGATTCCACTTATGCACAATCTCTTTTATCCTTTAATGTAAACGACTTGGTAAATAAAAAGAGAAAGCGAGTGAATGAAAATTCATCCATGTTGTGGCATAAGCTCTGGGCCACATATCAAGAGAAAAGATGGAACGTCTTATTAAAGACGGAATTTTAAGTTCACTTGATTTTTCTGATTTTAGTACTTGTGTGAATTGCATTAAAGGAAAATACACAAAGACAAAGAAAAAGGGTGCTCCTAGGACTACTGAATTATTAGACACAATTCATACTGATATATGTAGTCCCTTTACTGTTCCAACTATTTCTGGACATAAATATTTTATTACTTTTATTGATGACTTTTCTAGGTATACTTATGTGTACTTTATTCGTGAAAAATCAGAAGCACTGGATATGTTCAAACTCTATAAAGCTGAAGTTGAAAATCAACTTGACAGACGGATTAAAAGTGTAAGATATGATAGAGGTGGTAAATATTATGGTAGATTCACTGAGTCGGGTCAAAATCCAAGTGCTTTTGCTTTATTTTTGGTTAAGAATGGTATTGTTACTAACTACACAATGCCTGGTACACTTGAGCAAAATGGTGTAGCTGAGCGATGAAACTGTACGCTTTTGGACATGATGAGAAGCATGATGAGTAACTTTTCTTTACCAGATTACTTGTGGGGTGAAGCTTTAAAAACTGCTGTGCATGTTCTTAATAGGGTCCCTAGTAAGGATGTGCCTGTAACTCCTTATGAGTTGTGGGTTGATAGGAAACCTAATTTGAATTATTTACATGTATGGGGTTGTCCTGCCGAACTGAAGCAAAAATTTTCAACCCACAAATAAAGAAATTAGACCCTAGAATTATAAGCTGTTATTTCATTGGATATCCTGAGAGATCAAAGGGTTTTAGATTCTATTATCCCACTCATAGCACAAGAATTGTTGAAACTAGAAATGCTGTGTTCTTAGAGGATGAAAACGTTAATGGGAGTATGAATCTCAAAAATATTTCTTTGGAGGAAAATCGTGCTTTTACGCCTTCCGCGATTATCCAAGAAAATGTTGTGTCTGAACCTATTGGTACATAAGAGATTTCTCACATTGAAAAAGAAGTTGTCCCAGTTGCAGAATAACCTTTACGCAAATCACAAAGAGAAAAGAAACCAGCCATATCAGATGACTATGAGGTTTACCTACATTAGTGTGATATAGGCTTGAAGAACGATCCTGTTTCTTATGCCCAAGTCATGAAAAATGGAAATTCAACTCAATGGTTAAATGCCATGAAAGATGAGTTAAAATCCATGAAAGATAACAATGTTTGGGATCTTATAGAATTGCCTAAGGCAGCCAAAACTGTTGGATGCAAATGGGTTTTTAAAACCAAGTGTGATCCTAAAGGCAATGTCGAAAGATAAAAGGCTAGATTAGTTACTAAAGGATATACTCAAAAAGAAGGGATAGACTATAAGGAAACTTATTCTCCTGTTTTTAATAAAGATTCCTTAAGAATAGTCATGGCCTTAGTAGCTCATTATGATTTAGAGTTACATCAAATGGACGTTAAAACAGCTTTTTAAATGGTGACTTGCACGAAGTGGTCTATATGGATCAACCTGAAGGTTTTCAGGATGAAAGCAAGGAAAACATGGTTTGTAGGCTTAAGAAGTTCATATATGGTCTAAAGCAGACATCTCGACAATGGTATCTTAAATTTCATGAAGTTCTCACCAAATTTGATTTTAAGGATAATGTGGTTGATCAATGTGTCTACCTTAAAATCAGTGGGAGCAATATCTGCATTATAGTTTTGTATGTTGATGATATATTGCTTGCTAGCAATAGTTTGGGAATGATACATGAGACAAAGAAATTCCTTACGAGAAATTTTGAAATGAAAGATCTTGGTGAAACCTCTTTTGTCATTGGGATAGAAATTCACCGAGATAGGTCTCGTGGTATTTTAGGATTGTAAAAAAGAGCCTATATCGAAAAGGTTCTTAAAAGGTTCAACATGCAGAACTGTTCAAGTAGTGTTGCCCCTATAGTTAAGGGTGATAAATTTAGTGAATTTCAGTGTCCCAAAAATAATTTAGAAGGGGAACAAATGAAAGAAATTCCTTATGCCTTTGCAGTTGGAAGCATTATGTATGCTCAAGTTTGTACACGTCCTGACATAGCATTTGTAGTTGGTATGCTTGGTCGATACCAAAGCAATCCCAGACTTGATCATTGGAAAGCAGTTAAGAAAGTGTTGCGATATTTACAAGGCACTAAGGATTACATGCACACTTATCAAAGAACAAACAGCCTTGAAGTAGTTGGTTATTCAGATGCTGATTATGCTGGATGTAAAGACACTTGAAAGTCCACTTCTAGGTACATTTTTATGCTTGCTAATGGACCTATTTCATGGAAGAGTCATAAGCAGTCTCTGATCGCCGCTTCCACTATGGAGGCAGAGTTCATAGCATGTTATGAAGCCACATGTCATGCAGTATGGCTAAAGAATTTCATATCTGGATTACAACTTGTCGATTCAATTTCGAAGTCCTTATAGATTTACTGTGATAATGATGTTGCTGTGCAGTTCTCCAATAATAAAAAAACTTCAGGAGGATTAAAGCATATTGATATAAAGTATCTGGTTGTTAAAGAAAGGGTTCTGAATCAGACTGTTTCCATCTCTCATATTGGTACTACACTCATGTTAGCAGATCGTTTAACTAAAGGTCTCACACCTAAGTTCTTTCAAGAACATGTTGCGCGCATGGGCTTAGTAGAAAGTTTATCATGTTTAGACTTGAAATGAGTGTATTATGTTCGTGATAAATGTTACGTTATAATCATCTTCTGTTAGTAATGATTATGTTTGTCGTTTTCATTCTTCACACTCGTGCATAATTTAGAAGAAGATGTAAACAACGGGACCATTATAGATGAACTAACATTAATCACCATTATGTTGCTAATGTCATCTCTGTGATTTAAGATTCACTTATTCATGTTGATGGAAAATATTAACACTATAACCATTGTATAGTCTTGATCAATGTGTAAATCATTGACTACAATGATTTGGTGCTAATAATTTCATTGAACAGAATCTAATGGTGATGGTGCAATCTTTTAGTGGGAGAACGTTGGCCATATTATGATAATCTAGTGACGTAATATAATCATGCAAGCTGAGTAGGAGATTGTAAGAATTTTTCCTAAATGTGGCTTAATGTGGCTTATGCATGATTATACTAGATTCATCTCATTAAGTAAGATACATGTACATCAATTAGATGGTGATTAATCATTGATGGATGCACCTATATATACATAATGTATAGAAGACTAATGGAGATAATGTTAATGCATTGAATGTGATAGATTCATTATGAATGTAGAAGATACATTAATCTATCTAATGAATTCATTAATATAAAAGATGCATTATGTATCGTGAATGTAAAAGATACATTAATCTATTAATGAAGTTCATTGAATGAATGGATTCTTTGATGGGAAGAATACTAGTATAAATAATGTAAGGTCCCAAACCACACTCTCTATCACAAAACTTAAGAAGTTGTCACCACAAGAAGGCTCCCATCGCCTAGAGAGAGAGAAGTGGTTTGAAGATCTTAGACAAGTAAAGAATTTAAAGATCAAGGTCTTCCATCAAGGTTTCTTTTCTTATAAGTGGATTTCATACTATCATGGATCAAGGTATGTATTCACTTATTTTGTATAGTAGAAATTCATATAGTTCTCATGTATAGAATTGAATCCTTAATGGTTTTTAGTTTATGTTCCGCAAAGTTTTCTATCAATCCTTCAACCATCCTTCCACACACTTATCCCTCATTCTACACACACTGCTACTGCTACGGTTTGGAAATTTGTAGACTCACAGTGCTACAATAGTCAAAGTGAAGACCTACAGTGAAGAACTTTGCTCTATTGAAGACCTCCATTAACAACACCATTAAAAAGACTCTATTGAATGATCATTACTACTAGTTGTGGTCTTTAAATAAATCGTTGAATGATCATTAGGGGAAAAAAAAATGTTGGAGAGGAAGACACACAATTAATGTGATATTCCCAAAAGATATGAAAATCTGCTAAAAATTGTTTTATGGTTTGCAAGAAAAAGGAATTTTAAACCACCCACTTGCCTTCTTTCTTTGCATGATAAAAAGAGAAAAGAGACATTCATTGTGGGCATTCCAAAGATAAAAAGAAAAAATAAATAAAAATACAAACCTGAGGCCACTCAAGGTTAATTAAAAGAAAGAAGGGGAAAAAACAAAGGGTAGGAGAAGAGTATAGGAAAAAAAGAAAAGAAAAGAAAAGAAAA